CATTGCTACACTTGCATTTCTAGCTACTTATACATAAGGCACTCTAATTGATTGAATTACTTGAAGTCCATGAGGTAATAATTCATAACCATGACTACTCCTTCTGTATCCTCGCCTCCATCCCCCGCACGGTCTTCAGACTTCTCGGGTCTGTGTTCCTCTGACCCTGGTGATTCATCTGACATTTTCTCTTTACCAAGGTACTGAACTGTGCATCTTTCGCCAAATAACTCGTGCACATCCTTCTCCGAAACGAATTTAAATGACTCTGGCAAGCCCTCGGGAGATTCGGGCGCGAAAACCTCGAGAAGATAACGACCCTCTGGCTTGAGGCAGTCAAGCATGATCTCCGTGTACTGCTTGAGTCGACCTTCTTTCATCATTTTAATTGCAGTCATAGATCCACGATCCCAGATGCAATCGAACTGGCCACCAACGACCTCAGCTGTGACATCGAAAATACTGCACTCGAAAAGCGTTATATCTTTTTCATTCGCTTTGAAAACTGTCCCTTGAATCTCGGATGAGAGCCGAATGGATTTCACGTGATGTGTTAGCTTGTTCTCGTGAAAGAAAGCTTCGATTGCCTTTCCAATCAATTCCACACCTACAACAGCGTGTCCTTGATCAGCTAACCAGTTCATGTCCAGTGATTTTCCGCAAAGCGGCACCAGAATTCTAAGATTCTTTCGTCCACGCGTGAATTCACCATATTGTTTGATCAACATGGCGTTCACCTCATCGCTGTGAAATTCTGGGTTGTCAGTTGTCCAATCCTGCTCCCATGCCTCTTTGCTCTCAAAGTCAAGGGTAGCCAAGTGCTCTAATTTTTCTTTAACCTCGGCCATTACGCTGCAAACAAATTATGTTGCCAACTGGGTCAGACGTAAGAGGCAGTGGTTCGTCAGAAGGAATTCCGAGAAAAGACTGGTATCGAACGCTCGCATATCATCGTCCGCGTGTGAGAAAAGATACTCTCTGGAGCTCTCAGGACACCTTGACTTACGGGATCATTATTATTAATCAAACTGCAATATTCATACTCATATGAACACTTTAAAACCATCCACCTCTCCCTCACTAAATTCTTTTAAAATATATATCAATGGCATACAAGGCATGTAGTTGCGTGATCAGTCTGATTTCGTGACTGCATTTGAATGTCTTACATTTGAGTAGATGTCACGCCAAGCAGATCACGCGATCCGTTCATTAAGAGTTTGAGCATGTAAACCGAAAAAAAAAACCCTGGCGTCTCCCACTGGTGCTACCAAGGGCGCAAACCTCATTATTTCTTTTATTCGATTTATACTCGCCCAAATATTGACCGTATGCGATCTGAATTTTCCATAGAGTTATATGCATAGCATAGCATTAGTCAGAGGCATGCGATAAAATTCATCCGCGATCAAGGCTAACATTTGCAAAACTACAAAACTGTCGTACGGCACGAAACGTATTTAAAGATTAGCGGCCATATTATTAGGAGACTCTTTATTGTGACATTTAATAATAAAGTCACCTTTTCTCGTAACCACAGCTTAAGCTAACAAAATCGATGTAACTAACAATTATTATTTGATATCGAGGTAAATATGCTGCCGCTATTCACCGAGATTGAAAAGAATACTTCTTTTAACGAAGGGATGGTCTACTCTGTAATACTCACTGTTCCCAGATTAAGTCAAGCCATCGGTGTGGTAAGAGAAACATCACCACAAAGTCTTGGCTCAGTTGTGATACCATTGCCAGTTTCATTTTGTGTAACTGTGTAAATTTTGTTGCGGTTTTGAACATTTTGAAAGTTAAGGACATTTGTATGAAAAAAAGTTGGGTGGGAACCCTTGCTGTCAGGCGTTAAAATACTTTTTTTTTTAATTCAACCTTTCAAATTATTAATTCCAGGAGCCATCGGGGGCTCCTGTTAATTCGCATGCTTAAACCTAACATCAGTTTTGTTCCACGACAATTATCTTTCCTGACTTTTGTCAAAGCTAGTTTAATTTACAAACTAATTGGTATGTTTCTTTGGAGAAAATGTTTTCTTTAAGTTTCGATAGGTCACGTTCCTGGTTCATTTGGGAAGAGTTCTCGACCAACAATGTTCAGTATTTCTCCATTACCAAATAAATGTTGAAGGAAATCGTGCAACACTGCCGTTTCCTTTAAGATGTTTGGGAACTATCTCTGAAAAAAACTTGAAGAAAATGGAAAAAATCGTACTTTACTTATTAATTATGAATGAAACTTTCAGCTTACGCATTTCAAATGATGATGTCAGGTTGATTATTTCTTTTTACAATAAACATTTCACCTCGCTAATGGTTTTAAACGTTTTCAATTTCTTCATTTTTTACCGCTCGAAAATCCAAATCGTCAAACGTAAAACAGACGTGAGAGGCAAAGTGAAACTATTCAAGTGATCGCTTTTTTATTTTTATTTAAATAAAATGGAATCTAAAAGTAAATCAACGGAAGGAAACCAGCGCATATATCATCAAAACAGTTCTTCAGAACGTCACAATTCTTTTAATACTAAAAGAATTGTTATATCGAACAGAAAAGTTTGTTCCAGAAGTGAAGAATTATAACTAACTACCTGACTGTTTCCAGTTCAGGTCTGTAAGTGGAACTGTTGAATTAAAGGAGAATTACCTTTTAATATCAGGAGTTTCAAATTACGGTCACGATCGTGGGTTTTGTCTTTTTTTATTGTATTGAGAAATTTCGCGCCAAACGTTGCAAAGGCATTTTTGTAATTTCACAAGTGAAATTATAAATTAACGCTGCAAATTCGCATCAAAATTAAGGAGTAATTTGTTACCTATGATATTGGCAAATATATTTCGCAGCAAGGCCATGACTGTGCGACGAAACTGTCTCATTTTCAAACAGTAAATAACAGGATTCAAAGACGAATTTAGAAAAACCATGGTTAGAGTGCAAAGAAGCAAAACGTTTCTTACAGTTCTTGATGCAGAGAACACTTGGACACCATAACTGCAGATCTGTGGCAAGTAGCAAACCAAAAACACAAAATACACGTAGAAAGTGCCGACTGCAGTTTTTTTAAGGCTTGCAGCATTTGTCATTTCGCCATTTATTGCTTGGTGGTGTGGTTCTTGCAGGTGAAGAACTTGTATTTGATTTGTTAGACGTCGTACGGCCATGAAAATCTTGAAATTAAGCACTGTTGTAGTTAGAAGACAAGCAAAATCAATAATGGAAAAAGTCATGTAGGAAGCAATTGTCGGGATGGACAATGCGATAAACGAAAAAAATGTGCTCAACACCCATATTGAGATTACTACAGCAACAACACGCTTGTGAGTCACCAGTTCCTGATATCTGAGATGAAGATGAATTGACAAGAATCTGTCGACGCTTAGAGCCATAACACCAAAGAGCGACGCGAAAGAAAATAAAGTTACGGAGTAGGTAAATGCCTGGTAGAGGTTCACGTTGCGGTCGTAGTCTTGTATCCTCCCGACCATCAATGCGATGTACAATGGTTGAACCAGTAAACCAACACCAAGGTCAGAAACAGCAAGGCTCAGGAGAAGTATTTTTAAGGGATTCGGCAATGATGAAGATTTCCTTATAGCGTGGATCGTTATAATATTCAACATGATGGTGGTATACGATAAAAAGGTGTTCAAAACGACGTTGATTATGTACAATGAATATAACTCGTGGACCTCAGAAATTGATCTCTCGGTTTCTTTTGATGACTCGCCAAATGGATCTGCCATTTTTGTGTGCTTTCAAAGGAGCTGTTATCGATGAAGCATATGCTACACAAGTTTGATCATGAACGACGCAAGAGTGGATCAAAAGGCTTTGAATAACTCAGTGACGAGAAAACATCAGATGGTAAAACTTCGTCGTTTGTCAATTTTGTCTTCCAAATTTGCATAAACAATAAGTACAACAGACTGATGAAGTATCAAAATTCAGTGCAGTAATAAAACTAGTCTTGGTCAAATTTACAAATTCACAATCGTCACTTTCCTTGACTCAACATTCTTAGTGCACGAGGGTGGTTTTTACCTTAAACAGTAAAACTGAAGTTCTCCTCTCAAGTCTTGCTTCATTGTTCTTTGAAAAAAAAAAGCGCTTTACGGATCTGTTCTTTATATATTTACACTTCTATACTCAGCTCTCTTAGTTACATGCTATCAGATTTTAATAATACCCTGGTAACATGGAAAAATGTTTGCTTTATAATTATACTTAAATGACTTGTTGAAGTGCCTAAAACCAGGTGTCTCATCTGAAAATGAACTGACTTAATTTTTTTTAGTCTGTGTAGCTAGCGGATTTCTCGCGCGCGATTGCAGAGCGAGGTTGCGAGTGGAAACCATTTTTCTCGCTACAGGACCGCCATTGTAATTTAAAACAAGATACTTGCGCACGAAATCCTGTTAGCTATACGTAGGCTAAGCTATAGTCACTGAAGTTTCTTATGACGTCAACAGCATTTGCGAACTTTTAACACCTACACACTCTGTAGGACTGTCTCAAACTAAACTCGTTTCGACGAATCCCTAAGGGATGTGACCTTCCATTGATCATGCGGTTGTTATTTTGTCTTAAATAGTGTTTATTTTGATAGTGTTTACTATCTTCAATCCTTTAAAAAAAAATCCTTAAAAATAGGATTATGAATTACATTAAGCCTTAGCCATGCTAACAGTCATTTCATGAAGATTAATGGTGTTCATATCTAGCTAATTTTTCTCGAGGATGCGTGTTCGTTCATCTTGAGGAAGTAACACCCTCATCTTAAGCCAAGCGACAATTCCTAGAAAAGTTGTGCCTACGGATATTTCAACCTCTTCAACATTGTTCCAATCCATCGACTTGGCTCTTCTTTTTTGATTTTCTCGTTAGGTTTTGAACATTATAAGGCAGCTCGGAGCCAATCTTTCTGATGGAAGAAACCCCAGGGATGGAACTAAGCTGGCTTCCGATGATAGAGAATCCGTCAAACGGGCTAATCACCGTCTGCATGCTTTGTAGTCTCTGCTTGCCCTCCTCCTTCATGATGTTCTCCACTTTAGCTCTGCACTCCTCACATAAATCTTCCACTTCATTTCTCAAAAGGATTGCCTTTTCTGAATCTTTGTTTCTGTCATCTTCTTCCATTTCAAAATCTTCTTCGTATCAAAAAAAAATATCCAAGAAAAGAGAATGTTATATTTTGTGAAACATCGTGTGGTTTTCCAATTAAAAACGGGGGAGGTGGAATACTACCCGAATTATTCCGAAGATTGCAGAAGATTGCCGAAGATCGCCGAAGATCATTCAAAAAATTTCCGAAGATTTTCCAACAATATGGGAAGTTTGGCGAATAGTGGGTATTTTAGAACATATTTTGGAGATCAAAGGCACTTAAGCCTGCCAAAGTAAACAATTAATGAATGGATCTTAAATAGCCAATTTATCAAGCTATCATGTGATCATTCTCGTGGAATTTGGTATAAATAAGCACTGTTAGTTAGCCTTGGAAAAATTTACTAGCGCTTATCTATTCAAAATTGCACTCGAAATCGTGTGATTGCATAAATCCCACACTTGTGATCAGGCGAGATAATTTTTTCTACAAGAGGAAAAGGGTTCTTTGTATGGCATTTCGCTCTAAATGTCACAATGTCTGTAACAGCCATACACTACAGAGTAACGACAGCTTTTTCAAATAGAAAGTTCTTTGCCAACATTGTCTAGAGCCGACTTGAACATGGTCGACCTCACTTTCATCGACAGAAAAGGAAACCTGGAACGTTAACAGACGTTGAACTTTAAAGCACTCACCATTGACTTTATTGAGACGTTCCATCTTTGGTTTGTAGAAAAAATATTCCCATATAAGGCCACCGCCCACAAGAACGGCAAACAAAGCGAGAAGAATGATGAGGAAGTCATAATCATCGAATAAGCTTGTACTCTCTCGCTTGTTTTCCACCACGGACACCGAATTAGACAAAATCTACAAAAAAGAAACCAGATTACCAGTGGAACCAGGTTATGATCTCTTGTAACCATTAATACATGAACACTTGATAGACGCCTCTGGAAAGCTAAAGAATAATTTAAATTTCATTTAAATTAATCCTGGTGACGGTTTTTAGAACCATTTCCTTGGTAATTGAATAAATTTCCATTTATCGTTTGTTCGTGTTTTGATGACGCTTTTTCTATGAAAACAAAATTAACTTAATTTTCCTTAACGTAAAATAACTGAAAGGAGGTTTTTTGTGTTCTGTTGTAAGCATTGTGCAACAGATACATTTGCGAGTTATGGGTAGCACGAGGTCAGTATTGTGAAGCACTTAGTTAACTTGGATTATTCTTCTTGTCTGACAGTGTAAGGAAAGATGTAAAAATAAATTTCAAGTTCCGGTCGTTTGTTCTGCCTTTAGTTAACGTAACATACTAAGCGCAAGTAGTTGCTGCAACAGCTATTAATTGAATGAGTTACAGGGATTTTTGTCCCTGTGTTTCGAAGTTTGGCTCGGCTCACCTCTAATGCTCTCAGCTCAAACCCTTCACTATGCGCCAGGTCCTCAGCGCACTTATTTACCGTCTCACAAATCTGAGTTGCGTTTTGAGGAGGTCTGACGCTCATGCCAACGAAGTACTCATAGTCTACAAGTCGGCCGATCTCCAGTGACTTATCTTTAAGCGTTTCAAGTGATGCAACAGCCACGTGTCTGTCCAACAGCAATCCGTTAACAACTGGATTCTTTGTTCTAGACAGCGCATCAATCATATCATCGATGTCATTAAATGCTAATGAGAGAAACAGCACAATAAGCCATTTCGAGTGACCTTGTGACTCTGTTTCAAAACGAGCCTTCGTGCAAAACCTTTCATGTGAAAATTAGTTTGTTACGTTTTGCATGAAAATGAACCTGTAGGCCTAGGAACACATTTTCATATGAAAGGTTTTGCACGAAGAATCGTTTTGACACAGAGACAAAAAGCCACTCGGAAATGGCCTCTTAGTTTTAAGTCATTTGTTGTGTCTTTTTGGCGTGTTGGGAAATCAATAAATCTTAGATGAAATCTAAGATGGTAGCTCTTTGTATATTATGACNAAATGCCACAACAAGTTTGATTGTCTCATTAATGAGATGTTACTCATTAAAGAATTACGACCGTGTTTAAATGTACAATCAGACTCCGTTCGCGCTAAGGTCTTTGTCTAACTTATGCAAATTGGTAACTCTGAACTCTTAGTTACTCTTGAAATCGCATATTTAATTAGTCCTCATGACAATGGCGCCAAGATGTCGCCGAAACGTCGGATTTGTCTATCGTTAGTTTTTGCCTGTATATGTTTATCTAAATCATTGTTGATTAGAAAATTGAATAAATAAGGAAAATAGCAGCTGCACTGTAGTCTTTTGTATTTTGCAGTTTGATAGCCGTGGCAAGCAATTTGGTTCCAATATTATGACAAGGATTCAGCTGTCTATCAAAATCAAACTTAAAAAGTTTATTTGTGTCCGACACAAGTATTGACTGTAGTTTGAGGCGTGTTTTCATGAGGCTAGGCTCACAAAGAGTTTACAATAACTTGGAATGCGTTCTTGTAATAAGCATTAAATAACGCTAAAATGGGACATTTTCAATGCCTCACTGCTCCTTAACAAGCATGGGCACGCCCCTTTTTTATTTTGTAATTAAAACTCTCATATGATAAGTAATCATTGGACAAAGTTTGAACAAAAATCTATGTGCAGTTTTATTTCAGGGAAATTACCTTAAAATCCATACTTGCATCCGGCGTGCCCTCTGTACATGTTGCCGTATTTTAAACACTATACTACAAAAACAAGTTTTTAAAAACCTTACCCATGTACTTTGCGCCCTCCGTCACAGCTGCTTGCTGTGCCAAACTCCCATTCAATACTGCAACCTTAAAAAATTGGCAGAAAACAAATAGATTCTTTATCATAGATAATAAAACCGTTTTTTGTGCGCTCTATCAATTAAGTTTTTTGCAGAATTGCACAACCCTATCGGTATAGTCTTTCAAAGAGTTTTCACTGCTTTGGAAATGATATTTATTAGTTGCTCAATAATGGCTTCTAACAGATACATCCGCTTTGCATAGTTAATAGAGGGAAATGGTTAAGAAACCTGAAAAGGTCTTTGTTGTATGTTTTTGTTGGCTATTGTGGGAGTTAACCCTACACAAAACCTGACAAACTACAAAAGGTGGTACAATTATGTAATATACTGCTGATAGTCTATGAACATCAAACAAAAGATGTGCAGGGTCAAGGACCTTCCAACATAAATCTTAGACTGTACCTGTTTGTTTGCTTCTTTGCTGTTTACCAGTCTTCTTAACCATTTCTCTCTTTTAACTATGACCTTTGCAAATACTTAATGACGGATCGGAAATGAAACTGACTGTAGTAATGGCCGATCTTTACTGTAGGGTTGTTTCATTTTCTCCAGACAACAATTTCAAGTTCCAGGTGACCGTAAAGCCGGCCGGCCATTTGTGCATTTTCTGCAAAGTATTACCGTCGCAGAAAAAAACTGACTTGGGCTTTCAATTGAATAAAAAGTGAACCCACCTTTTTGCCAAAGAGATTTAAATCTTTTTGAATCTCATGATTCAAGGAGCTTGTGAAGTTGGCTGTGAGAACTGAAAACGCCACCATTCCCAATAACATCCACAGAATACTGTACAGACGGGCTGGGATGGACTTTGGAGCTGTGTCTCCATAACTAAAACAGAAACTTGCATGGTTACAACTTACTTCCATAATAGTATTCTTGTTCTTATGAAAATTACAATTGTATGATATAACGTAATAAGGACTTCTACTTACCCGACAGTTGTCATGGTAACGAAAGCCCACCAAAAGCCTTGCCACGTACCGCGGATAAAAGAAGGCGGGAAATCTACGGGATTCTTGTGACGATCCTACATTGAACAAAGGATTGCTTTCTGTTAAGGTCAAGTCTGCGTAGGGTTAAGCGACGTCGCTTCTGTAACAGGAAGGGACTGAATAGAGTAGGAGTATTTCTACTCCTGTCTGAAGTAAACCCCAGCATTGCATTCGCTGGCATCCATTACTAAAGGTGAAGCTAGGTGAGTGAAGAGAGGCAATTTAAGGGGTTGACCGTTTTAATTTTGAGGGGGATAGGAGGGTGGTTTTGACATAAGATATATCTTGCAAGCAAAACAATGCACCAAAACGTTGTCATGCACCCGATCACTGCCAAGAAAAAGCATGTTAGACGGAGAAAAAATGTCATGCTTACATCTCGAGGAAAAACATCTCCCAGTGCATGGAAGGTTTAAAAAAAATCGTGTCTATAGCAAATCTCTCCCCCCAATAAAGAAAATTAACGCGAGAGAGGAGGCAAAATTTCAAAATGAGGGAAATTAACGTGTCTGCTACACCGAAAAAAAAAAACAGAATTTGTTGAGATCAGGAACCAATTTATTTTAACACTGTAAAGCTGACAGCGAACCCGAACAAAATTCAGTCGAAGTACAGTAAACGATTTACAAATGTGAAAGATTTATGTGAAATGTAAAGTGCGCGAATAAAATTTATTGTTTGGCTGTGTCAAGAATGTCTGGTGTGTGTCACAGATTTGGGCGAAAATAATGGTAATTAACGTCGCGGAAATTAACGCGCAACTTAATTAACAGCGCGGAAATTAACATTACCATAAATTAACGCGACTTAAATTAATGCGAATTTTTTAAATTCGCGTTAATTTCATGAAGCGTTAATTTCCTACGATGAGGTAATTTTTAAATTATTCTTTTTAAATTATTATTATTATTATTATTATTATTATTATTATTACCACGAGATGGCACATATTACATTACAACATTATACAAATCTTACTGACACTAACTATTTTAATACACGTTTAAGCATTTTCAACACAAAAGTTAGCGAAAATAATAAACGAAGTTTCGACAACGTCGGGATGTCATTGTCAAGTAACTATGTAGGTTAGTTTTTGCGTTATAAATAGATACACATGTTTACTTCACAATGACAAACCGACGATATCAAAACGTCGTTTATTACTTTCGTCAATGCTTCTGTTGAGAATATTTTCTAAACCTTAGGTTTGAACGTGTTAATTAAGAGTGATTATTTGGAATCCATAATTGTTTTATATATAAAACTTCGCCTAACTAAAATACTTATAGGCATAGAATTTTTATGAGGCGGGGAAACCACTACAGCCTAGCCATTTGTTTGTGAGTCCACAACATTTTAACCACTGTGATTATACACGTCGTTGTCGATAAGAGTACAGACCACGCGAAACCACTTTCGATTTGTTAAATTCGAATTGCTAGAAACAGCACGACGGCGAGCTCGCTATGTTGCACCTGGGACAGATTGTTCTCCAGGGTCTTATAACGTCAACGTCGTACAGAACTGGAGCCCTATTGTAATATTGAAGTAGTAAACGAGGTGTTTTTTTTTTTGCGTATAGAAATTTAGATTTCCCAGATTAGGCGTAGATGTGAAAGAACGGATTAATGATTTGGACTGCAGATATAATAATTGTCGCACTTACCAATATCCAAATAAATACCCCGGATATAACCGTTAGAATGAGTGTCAAACCTATGATCTGACCGCCATTAATAAATGACAGCCCAAGCTGGGTCAGCGGCTTCATCTGGTTTCTTTTAGCAACATAGGCTGGTCCTTTGGAGAGATGTACTTTGATCTCACACGGATCGTTCGCATTCTTTTTGATCATGACTGGCATGGAAATAGTTACATTTCCAGTGCTGTTGGATATTAGAATTGAAGATTTTGTGAATTTTCTCCGTGCCGGTTTGTAGGTAATCCTGTCTGGTTTGATCATTCTACGAAGTAGTTCGTACAGAAGACCTGTGATAAAATTTGAAATACAAAAGTTAGGTTAGGGAGTCTCAGAAAGATTAAAACTGATTTAGAGAAATTTGATATGACTTGTCCTAAAAACAAAAGGTCCTAACCCCCGGGTGCTAGCTTGTCCTAAAATACAGTTTTCCGGTTCTCTTAATTGATTCAACAATAAGTGTATTACAATCCGTTTGCAAAATGCATTTCCCCTCTCTCATACTCATGCCAAATGCTATTTAAAAATTTAACAATTCAATTCAACAATTCGATAACAGTCAAATTATTAGTGTCATGCATGGGAAGAGGTTACTCTCGGTATTCGAGCCAGAGACTTATGTATAGAACGTATGACAAAGATAAAGATAAAATAAGATATAATCCTTATAATCAGTTAGATCTTTATAATCGAAAATTTATTAACAATTAGATTATGCACCTGTATTAAGGGCCTGCATTTTCTACAAACGGATAGTCAGCCGGAGGCGCGGCCGAGGTTTTAATCATTCATAGCAGGAAAACGACGGAGAAAAGTTTGATTCTCAAAGCTCACTGTCTAAAGAAGCTTAAAGAAATGCCAGCCAAAACAGCCAATTTTACGTATTTTTTGGCAAAATGTTATAACAACAAAGTTTTTTCTTTTAAAAGCGGTGTCTGTGCCCGATCGTTTTTCATCAATGAATAGAGAACGATGGGAGAACCAGTCAAATTGGCGCATTTCCAATAGCACATGCTGAGTGCCTACTAAATGATAATACACATGAGATTATGTTAGTTCAGTTGGACGACATGTCAAAGAGAGAGGGCCTTGGGAACGAGGTTACCTGGACTCGTTACCAGTCTCTCGATCAAGGCATTGCAGAGCTAAGATCCTTAAAGACGTGATTTGTATTTAGTTTAGTGACACATTTTACAATTAATGCCAACGATACAAAACGACGTTCCCGTGTTATCTTGACATCATTATCAAATTAGAAATAAAAATAACGGTAAGTTTTGTTTGTATATATACAAACGAGGTGCAAATGGTCTCATTCTTGGTAATGACAACACATAGATTGGAAATGTCAAACAAAGACTTTCGCACGATTAGAGTGTGATTGAGTGTTCATTTCCGGTTTTGTTTTACGAGTAAACAGCATCTCAAAGGTAGGACAAGCTAGCTTTTCTTTGCGTCTCTTTAGTATTAATTAAGCATTTGCTAGCAAGGTCAACAATATCATCGTTATGATTTTCTTGTAAATGTTTGCCTACGGAAGACGACTTTTGCTCTTGATGTTTTGATACATATGTTTTTCTATCTTGAGAAAAATCCCAGAAAACTAATTGAAATTAGTTTCCCTGGGGCAGTTCATATAATATTATCATGGTATTCCAGGCCGCGCATTTTTTGTTCGAGCAGTAACACATTTTGCAATGAATGTGAACGATAAAAAACGACTTTCCCATGTCATCTTGACATTATCAGCATCAAGTTAGAAATAAAAATAACGGTACGTTTTGTATGCATATGTACAGGCGAGGTGTAAATAATCTCATTCGAGGGTTAAATAATGACACTAGCGGGGTAGAAATTGGTCATTAAAGGTGCCAGTGATGACAAAACACCGAGAAATGTCAAACAAAGACTTTCGCACGAATAGAGTCTGATTGGATGACAGTTCCGGTTTGTTTTACAAATAAACAGTATAGATCAAACAATTTAGCTTTCCTCCGATGTTGCTGAAATTTGCGAAATTTTAAGAATATATTAGAATAAACCCGAGGCTGAGATTTTGAAAAGAATAATAATGTGTTAAACATTTGTGAATACAATACAATCATACCTTTTTAACTAAATCGTATAAAAATTCTTCCTTTCTCTAAACGGCAAAACTAGCCACAAAGCATTAAAAACAGCGCTAGCCGTTTATTCGATGCCAATCTCGGCCATTTGTGCAAGAAGTTATATGCGTCATATCAGGTTTTGATGCTCCAAAATTACTTGAACACCATCCAGACACCAAATACATTCGAAAACAAATATGCCATTCGCTATATAATGTAAGAATATCCACAAGAATATTTTCAGCCTAAAATTGGCAGAAAAATAAGAATGTTTTGGAAACTAATTGAAATTGGTTTTCTTGGAGCAAGTCACATAATTAATGTTATCATAGTCTTCTAGGCGCATTTTTTGTTCGAGCGGAAGTCCTCAGTCATGATTTTAGGACTGTCTTTTGTTATTTGTTTTGTTTTAGCAATTTTTTTTTTTTTTTTTTTTTT